ATATATATGTAGGTATATGTATATACATATAGGTGTTGATATCTCTGTGAAGTTGACGCAGCAGGCCGAGATGATTACGAAGGACAGAAAGGTCAAACAGAAGCCTGAAGGGGACACAGAGACACAATGAAGACGGTCACGTGGTCGTGCGGTCGGTACCCGAGACGTTCTTCTTCCTTCTTTCGGAGGTTGAAGTCTCGTTGGATCACCTCCCAGACGTGTTTGGCCTCTTCGTCCGTGAGACGCGACAGATCCAACTTGCGCTCCATGACACCGAGAGGAGACCAGATGTTCCGCTACAGACGTGGCGTCTAAAGCTGAAATCATTCAACATGGCGACAAGTGGACTTTCAATCAGTTACAAGGCACTTGGAAAAATGAGAGTAATATTTTGAGGTTGAAACATTTCAAGGAAGAGAGTTGATTCTCATTTACGAAGACAAAGTAAAAGCATCGATTGTTCAACAAGCACCAAAATAAAAGGTCAACGGACTTAAATGCTCTCGTCACCTTCAGTATTGTCATTTTATTATAAACCTTTAAGAAGTCATGCAACCTTATTCTGAGTTTTTTTTCCAATTAAAATGGATCAGTTTATGCAACAAATCAGTGTTGATCGATTGGCTGCACTGATGTGTGAGTGAGACGTGTAGCCGTCCTTCACCACACCCTGATGACATCACACATGTCACACAACGCAGGAGATGGAGATATTTATTCCATTTTACTTGGATAACTCAACTACACTTTAAATGTGAAGAAACCTTCAGAAGCAAAGTGACATTTTTTCACAGTTCTGTGAAGCAGCAGTGAAAGGACATCAAATCAAGACGTTGATAACAAATATTAGTTAAGGAACAACTGTATGAAATGAGGAAAAAGACAATAGTTTCAAAGATCTTTACACTAAAATGAGATGACTTGATTTTTACAGCTGTAGTTAAATAAGAATAAACTCACCGTGTGTTCTGGGACCGAGGAGACGTCCGTCTGGGTTCAGACTGGAGGATCAGCTGATCACATGACGCCCGTCCTCATGACAACAACACCGCACTGCTGAAGGCAGAATCCACACACACACACACACACACACACACACACACACACACACACACACACACACACACACACACACACACACACAGAGGGGTCTCTGGGAGTCAGGGCTCAAGTGGGAAGCTACATGGATAACTTTGGATTTAGAGGCCTCAGAGTTTAAGAATAAAAGATGAAATAACCATTGACACTCATGTTGGTTTTCTCCCTTTATTATATTTTTGGTATTTTCTTTTGCTCACAGTAATAACATAATAGTACAACAGCATGTCCTTGTGTAATAACAGTTTACAGTTCTTTGCTTCCACTTGTACTTTTCTCATCTCATGTCACTAAAACACAGACTCTGTTGCTGCTTCCACCAGGTATCATTCAGACTTTGCACGTTTAAAGAAGTGATTCAATATATATTTAAAGTACCAGACCCTTAAAACCCTCTTTGATTAGTTTTTTTATTCTATTTTCTGTCATTTATTTCACTAGAGATTCTGATAAATCTCATAATAATTAGCAAGAATCATTGGATATATAAAGAAGTAATAAATGCTTCATCCCAGGTGACCAAATGAAGACCTGCCAGCATTGTTTCACAGCAGCAACATCTTCAAACATCTGTTGAAGAGCCGTGAGGTTCGAGGCTGGTTGTTGGAGCTTCAATGAGGAATCAGCTGAGAAGACAAGCGGACGTCACTGATGAGTCATGACTTCTACTTTGTCTCTGATGAAGGGCAACTATGAAATACCTAAGAGTCAGATGACATTCCTGCTCCTGAGAGGATGAACCCTCTGACCTTTACACTGGTGCGTGTAGCAATTCATGTTTTCAATCCAAATGAACGTCATACATACCAGGTCAAAGGTCAGAAGGGCAGCGGTCTTTAATTACTCCAGGCCATAGTGATGAGGGCTGGGTTTCCCTCTGCAGTCTTGGACCTGGAGGATCTGCGCCTCCTCTTACTGCTTCCAGGGCAGGTCTGTGGGACAGGCAGCGTGTTCAGGGTTAGACTGCAGCCCGTGTGGGCTCCACGGAGGTCCACACTACAGAAGCCCTTTGTCTGCTCATGTTGTTAGTAGACATTTGTTCAGGAGGGAGAGACTGTGAGCAGGTTCAATTATGCCAAACGTGATGTGAAGAACTCAGCTCAGCCCGACTATAACAGAGCTGCTGACATATTAATGCATGAGTGATAACTCTCCTTCACCAGGAGAGGAACCACACAGGAGCATCACTAGTTGGTGAAGCAGCCTCTTCTCTGCTCCTGCTTACCGGAGCACAGCTTTTGCCCTCTTTGGGGCACAGCTCCACTTTGCAGTGCAGGTAGATTGCAGATGTTTCTCCAGAGAACTGGAACACGTTGAAAGAGAAGACGTTGGAGGTTCCCAGTCCGTTTCCCTCCACCATCACCGTCTGGTCGGCCTTGTTGGGGCATCTGCTCAGAAACAGGAAATCAGGTGAGTTCACCTGCTGCGGATCCTTGAAGCCGCAGACAAAGAGTTCTTTCTCACCCGGCGATGACGAGGTCGTATCGCGGGCTGCTGTCGGTGGACGGCTGGGTGGTGGCCCAGCAGGAGTCGGTCACTATGGCGACCAGGTCGCCGTCCAGCCCCTCCGTCTTCAGCTGCAGCCACACCTTCTGGTTCAGCTGGATCTCGGTGCTCGACTCCACGCGGTTCTGGAGTCCGCCGTCGGTGTAGGCGGCCATCGTCAGAGTGTAGTTCCAAGCTCCGGATACGATCTGCAGTACCACAGAGCTGCAGAGCGTACGCACACACACACACACACACACACAAACTTCAGCTTCCTCAAACAACAACAGGCTGCAGGCTGACGAGCAGGTGGAGCTCAGCCGTCCTCCACTCACCTGTCTTTGATCCTGAAGGACAGGCTCTGGACGTCTGGCGTTGCGTAGAAGCAGGAGAAGTCGATCTGGACTTGGTCTCGGCGGGTGATGACGCCGTTCTGAGAGCCGTTCCCCGTCGTGATGGTGTTCTTGTAGAGGATTTGGCTGTTGTTCATCTATGTTGAGACGGGAACACGAGGCACCGTCACCTCAGAGGGAGTAACTTGGTCACCTGTTTGTGTGCTGGTTGTGTAAACACAGTCTGCCACACATTCATGGCAACAACACACTTGGTGAAGGAGACCAACTAGAGGAGGGCAACCAACTAGAGGAGGGCACCCACCGAAACCTCCGCCCCACAGGTGTCGCTGCTGTCGAAGCTGAACTCCACCATGTGGGTGCGTTGGTCCACGTGACCTTTGCAGTCGGGGTCAATGAGGTGGAGGGCGGAGGAGTCGATGCCTCGGTCCTGCAGCAGACATCCGGCCAGAGTCACAGTGGCAGAGTTCTGCGTGCAGACTGT